AAAAAAAAAAAAAAAAAAAAATTCCAGGGCATTTGGGCCACAGAGTACAGGTATTGCATTAGATTCAGTCATTACATAAGAGGAACTCCAGAGACCATGGACACTCCATGGCTGTCTGTCTCCCTCTTACTGTGCTTCCACTCAGGGCATCTTGAGCCAAGACACACTCAGTCCAAACTACAGTAGAACAGCGTGGTCCTTCCAGCCTCCAATCCTATCCTGACCCACCTTCTGCAGAGCCTGCCTGGAGGGCTGGAGGGAAGGGCAGCCTGAAGGCCTCAGATCCAGGTGAACTGGGCCAGGCCTGCTTATGGCTTTGTTCACAGTCCTGCTGGGGCTGGAGAGAGAGGGTGACGCAGAGAGGGAAGGGGTTTCTGTCTCACTTCCCCGTCTGCCTGTGTCACTGTGGGATGAGTACCACTGCTGTCCCAGGAGCCACAGTAATAGTCAGCCTCATCTTCCACTTGAGCCCCAGTGATGGTCAAGGAAGCTGTGTTTCCTGAGCTGGAGCCAGAGAATCGGTCTGGGATCCCTGAGGGCCGGTTGTTGTTACCATAGATGACCAGCACAGGGGCCTGGCCTGGCTTCTGCTGATACCAGCTTGCAGAATAGGTTCCTATGCCACCTCCCTGGCAGGTAATCATGGCTGTCTGTCCCAAGGCCACAGACACTGCAGGGTCCTGAGTCATTGCAGAGGAAACCACAGGGCCTGCAAGAGAAGACAGGAAAGGTGTCTGAGGATGAGTCTCATTCCCAGGGCCTTACCCCGCGCATCACTCCTTGTGCTGACCTAAAGGTCAGGGCTAGGCTCATCCCTGGTTCTACAGGGACTGAGCCCTGGGAGGCAGCACCTGTGCAGAGAGTGAGGAGGGTGAGCAGGAGCGGGGTCCAGGCCATGGTGGAGACACCCCAGAGCTCTGCCTCTGAGCCCACAGCTAAGGAGGAACCTCCAAGCCTGTCTTATCATAGGAAGGGAGGCTCTTCATGCAAATCTACTTCCTTTATTCTTGTGTCCTGTTAGGTGGCTATGGTGAGCAGTGGATGCAAATCTGTTCTCCATTCCCTGAAATATTTGTCCTGGTTCTTGTGTTAGCCCTGAGCCCGAGGCCTTCTCTGAGTAATTTCCCAAGGTAATACGAAGGGCCGAGTGTGTTTTCAGATTTACCCAATAGAAGGGGCCTCAAAGGAAGCAGCAGTCGTGCCCTTTGCACTTGAGCATTACCAGAGGACTTGGACTCATTAGGGGCCTCAGACTAAACCTCACAGTGCCCCCTGCTGCACACAGCGTGAATGGCATTTTCTGTACATCACTAGATCACTAAGAAGGGCCACTTAAAAGCCCATAATACATGTCAGATGCATTGGTGAGACCTTTACAAGTGTTACCTCAAGATGACTTTTATAATATAGATAGGATGATGGGAGCCCTATGCTCAAAGCCCATCTTTATTAGTGAATCATTATTAGGAGGGTAAATGTTTTTCCCTCGTCCTCCAGACAGTAGTGAGTGGAGTCCAGATTCCATCCAGGAGACGCCCCTCAGAGCCTGGCCTTCCAGCCCTGCCCCGCCCCTCCCCCCGCGCCCGGCCCCGCCTCCCGCGCCCGGCCCCGCCTCCCGCGCCCGGCCCCGCCTCCCGCGCCCGGCCCCGCCTCCCGCGCCCGGCCCCGCCTCCCGCGCCCGGCCCCGCCTCCCGCGCCCGGCCCCGCCTCCCGCGCCCGGCCCCGCCTCCCGCGCCCGGCCCCGCCTCCCGCGCCCCGGCTCCGCCTCCCGCGCTCCGGCCCCGCCTCCTGCGCCCTGCCCCTTCTCCTCCTTCTCCCTCATCTAAGGTCTTTGGGGTCTCTCTTGTTTTTATTTACTAGAGCTCCCGAAAATTATACAAAAGAACTAGTGACCTAAATGGCAGAAACGTATTTTCTCCCATTTCTAAGGCTGGAAAATCCACGATAGCGGTGTTGGTTGTGTGGTTTCCCCTGAGGCCTCTGTCCTTGGCTTGCAGGGGCTGCCCCCTTGCTGTGTCCTCACATGATGTTTCCTCTGCACTCTCACCGCTGGCGTCTCTTCTGTGTGTGCAAAATTTTTCTTTGAGGAGGCCAGTCATATTGGATAAGAATCCACCCTGATTTCTTCATTTTCACTTAATCACCTCTTTAAAAACCCTATGTGCAATTTCAGTCACACACTGTGCGTTAGAGCTTCAATGCATGGATTTTGGGGGACACAATTCATCCAATAACCCCCCACCCTATGGACTCCAAAAAAACTCATGTCTCTCTCACTTTGTAAAAACATTTACCGCATCCTAGCAGCCTGAATTCTAAACTAACTCAGCACCAACTCTAAGACCCAACTCTTATTTCTATATAATTCAAATCAAGTGTGAGTGATTCTCCAGGGTGATTCATCCTGAGGGGTTAAAGGAAAACAGCTTTGTGGGGGGGCTTCATCTCTAGTCTCTTGCTCTCATCTGGGTGTCCGGAAAAGTAAACTCCTACTTTATTAAAATGGAAATAAAGCAGTGAGTCAACATCAGCAACATTTTTGAGTTAGATGTGAAAAATTCACATTCTTAAAATAGAGAATATAATAATTTAAATGCCAAAAAAATTAAATTTTATAATCAGTAGCCATGGGCTATTTCTGACAGCATTGGGGAAAGCACCATAATTGATAAGAAAATATAACCAAAATACACAGAAGTTAAATTGTTTTTAGGGCAGCATATGTCTGAGTTGACTAAGATAAATCATACACAGAAATAATATAGCCCAAAGAAAATTAATCTCTTGTAAGCATATTAACTTACTAAATCCAATTTCAGCATTGAGCATCAACATTTTGGGGTACAAATAAGGAAACCTCTCAATGGTTATATAAAAGAGTAATTGTTTCCTACTTCATGCTTCAGTTTACTTGTGGCTTAATGGTGCTTTGACAGTGGAAGAGAAGGACGTTCCAGAAGATGTTTCTTTCATCTAGAAAGGGAAATTATTCCTTTACACAAAATGATAATTTGCAGGATAACGTATTTCCACTCTCACATCCTGTTCTTCTCATGGCAACTTAGTTGGGGGACTTACAGTTTAAAATCTCGAAGTCTCTTCTTTACCCCATTGTTACATTCTGAGTTTTACAATCTGTGTGTTTTATAAAAAATTGCAATACATTTAAAATTTGAACTTCATTTATTCATTTGCTTATGATGCTCAGAACACCAACGACCTTGTGCATTTTTGGTTTCAGCTACAAGGCTGATGTCAAGACCTTTTATCGCAGCCCTCACTGGATCACTCCCAACCTGACGCAAGCTTCCTTGCCCATTTGCTGCTCCCTCTCCCTCTAATTTTCCACCCGGGAGGAGTCTCTATTCCTGATATATGAAAGCTCTCACAAAACTGAAAGCAAAGGGATGAAGATGAAAGTCATGAGATTGTGACACACGGCTGTCTTGAGCAGACACAAGATCCAATCAAATAGATGGGACAAGTATGTTCTTATCCAAAGAAAAACCTCAGGCCACTAGAGGAGGTGAAATACAGTGACCCTCACAAGGAGACCTCCACCCAAAACACACGCTGGTGCAATTTTCAAACTTCAAATGACCCTGCAAACCAAGAACCATTAAGCCACATCCAGTGGGACACGCCTGGACTGACACCTTTTAAAAAATGGCCTCATAACTGATACTGGTTTTTATATTTTTTAATGATTATATTGCACATGGTGCTATCAGTACCTACATGTTATCCCCAAAGTTGACTTATGTGTGGCAAAGACTATAATACTTCTCAGCCAGTCATTTAAGAAAAAAGTTTACCAAATCCTAAAAAGTAATGAGTGCTGAAATATTTGAGCAAATGATCAATCTCAAGCAAAATAGGAGAAATCAAAAATCAAAGTGTAACAAGATAACTTTTTATATCTGATAGACTGGCAAAAATTTGTACTTCCACCAAAGAATTCCAAACAAGATCAGGGCTGTCATTCTTATATTATTGTAGAACTCCTCTGGAGGGGAATGAGAAAACAACGGGTAAAAGTTACAAATGCACATCCTCTTGATCCAGCAATTCCACTTCTGGAAATTTATCCTATGGTCATACACACACATGAACTCAAAGGAGTCTGCATAGGGAGGCTCGCTGCAGTGTTGATTGTAAGATCAAACTCATGGTGATAACCATTACAGGCTGCATGGCTAAAACTCTACCGTGGAAAACTCTGCAGCCTTAGAATGAATGGGGCAGTGCTATACGCCTAGGATGTCACGGGAAAGAATAAGAAATGGTGCATGTATGGGATGGTCTTTGACAAGGGGACCAGGACAGGGGCCTTACACTCCACTCTCTCCTTTTCCTCTGTGCTTTTGCTCATCAACCAAATCAGTTAGGGACAGTAGAAGCCCCCTCAGGCTGGGCCTGGCCACCTGCTGTGGCCTCTGAACGCAGCCTGGCCTGACAGCTTTGCTACAACTTCATGATCAACCCACAGCCAGAACCACAAATCTAAACTGCTCTCAAATTCCAGATGCACTGAAGTGACAAGATCACAAACGTGTTCTCCTAACATGCTAACTGTTAGGGAGCAAATTTATGCAGCAATAGACGATAAACACAATTTGGTTTTAGGAATAAATTTTCTTGTGGATATTTCACAAAACATGTTGATATGGGATACACATATAGTAAAATGCTGACTTTGTTGTTGTTTTTTCTTTTTTTTGAGACAGAGTTTTGCTCTTGTTGCCCGGCTGGAGTGCAATGGCACGATCTCGGCTCACCGCAACCTCCACCACCTGGGTTTAAGTGATTCTCCTGCCTCAGCCTCCCCAGTAGCTTGGATTACAGTCATGCGCCACCACGCCCAGCAAATTTTGTATTTTTAGTAGAGATGGGGTTTCGCCATGTTGGTCAGACTGGCCTCGAACTCCTGACCTCTGGTGATCCGCCCACCTCGGCTTCCTAAAGTGCTGGGATTATAGGCGTGAGCCGCCGCGCCCGGCCAGCCTACTTTGCTTTTAATGACATCCATTGAATCTAAGTTTATGAAACCTAAACTATATATAATAATGGCTATGTTTACCAATCGACTCATAAAATTTAAATATTGGATACAACTAATATCTGAATAATCATAAATTCTCAGCGGTAGTAGATTAATAAAGATTTCAGCTACGAAAGTATTGACACCCATGGAAATTACAGGTGCTGGATGTCAATGAGGAGGAAGGAATTGACTCAGGTTAACTCTTCCCTGTAGGGCCATTTGGAAACTCCCATCCTATGGGGAGACCATCCAATTTTGGGGAGTTTCCAGGACAGGGCCTCAGTGATGTGAGAGAGGGGGATTTGAGGGAGCACTGAGCCTGTCACTCAAAATCTCCCCAGCTCAGCAACTCTTTGCCTCAACTGTATTGAGGCAAAGAGGAGGTGCATAAATAAGAAAAACACGGCCAGGTGCAGTGGCTCATGTGTGTAATCCCACCACTTTGGGAGGCGGAGGCAGGTGAATACTCTGAGGTCAGGAGTTAAAGACCAGACTAGCCAACGTGGCAAAACCTCGTCTCTACTAAATATACAAAAATTAGCCAGGCATGGTGGTGGGCACCTGTAATCCTGGCCACTCAGGAGGCCAAGGCAGGGAGAATTGCTTGAAGTCAGGAGGCTGAGGTTGCGATGAGCTGAGATCGTGTCACTGCACTCCAGCCTGGCAACAAAGCAAGACTCTGTTTCATAAAAAATAAATAGAAAAATAAGAAAAGCAGCAGCTCTCTCTTGTTCTTAATCTCTCAAAAACATGTTCAGATCTCACAGTGGTCACTGCTTCAGGACAGAAGTGCAGAAGAATGGCCCAGCCAGGAGCGCCACCTTCACCACAGCGTGGTGGACACACAGTGGAGTAAGATGTGATTTCTTGAAACTCCCTGCAATGACGTCTGTGAAGAGGGGTCTGCACAGTGTCGGAGATGGGGATGCGTTTAGGGTGAGGACATCCCTGAAAACAGCAGCGACGGCACCTGTCAGGCAGCTTCTTCTCAGGCAGTGCCTGCATTTGAAGAGCTAGGAATTGTTGCACGTGCAAGGACCACAACATACACACAAGCAAAAGGAAGCTGTCCCTGTCCTGGATGAGAAATCACGGAGCAGGTTTCCTTTTGAACTTCGTGGTGAGAAAGGAGAGGAGCTGAGAGAGAGGAATTCTCAAGGCCGTGCTGCAGGAAGCCCCTTGCACAGGGTGAGGAAGCATCTTCAGAGCCAGGGAGAGCCAGAGAGCCACGGGCAAGTTTGGGCCTCAATTCCCCATGAACTTGGACCACTGTGGGAAGTGCCACCTCTCCTATAGGAGCTGCAGTAATAACCAGCCTCATCCTCAGCCTGGAGCCCAGAGATGGTCATGGAGCCTGTGTTTCCAGACCCGGAGCCAGAGAAGCCATCAGGGACCCCTGAGGCCTGAATACTCACACCATAAATCATGGGCCTGAGAACTGTGTCACCCGTTGTTTTGGGGCCAAGAGCAGAAAGGCTCTGCAGCAGGTGCAGGTGGGGATGTGACTGTCCTAGCCAGAGAAACTAGCAGACTGCACCATAATAGAATTGGGCACACGAACTGAAACCTTGTGCTTAAGGCAAAGCTTCAGGGGAGAATCCTACTGTAGACCCATGGGATTAGCAACAAGTCTGTCATGTGCAGTAGAGAATTGTTTACCTTTTGAAAACAACCTCTCCTATGTTCGTGGTCTTTGTTACATCCAGAACCACGTGAAACAGCAGTGACCACACAGTCAGACCTGCGAGATCCACCCAGTCATGAGCTCAGGCAGGGCACGAAATGATGCACAGTGAGACGGATGTGGCTCACGTAGGATGGAGCCGGAGCAGGGCCCAAGGGCACTGTCTTCCGCAGGAGCAGGTTCTCCTCCCTATTGTCCCAGCGCCTCTTCCTGGGCTCACACTTACATCGTCTGGTGGAGATGGGCTTCCTACACGAGGGTACTCAACAGCACCTGTCACCTGTAAGAATCCTGACCAGCTCTGCCCAATAACAGTGTGACACGATCCTCCTGGGACCCCTAGTGTCTAATCGCCACATTAAAAATGAAAAGGTAAGACAAGTAAATTCAGATAAATAGTAGATTTCATTTATGTCAATAAAGCAAAATACTATCATTTTTACATTTTATCAGCATGAAATTATGAGCTATATTACATAGATTTTCATGTCTATTGTTATTGTCATTTTTCAGGAGATTAATTATTTGCAGGCCATGTAGTTGATGGGGAGGGGAATGGGTTTTCTGTTGACCAGGGTGGCCTGCAGTGGCTTTTCATATGACGAGTGACCTGTGTTTTACATAGTTCATCACATATCCATATCTGGTTGAGGTTGTAGAAAGGAGTGACATTTGCAGAAGAGGTGGAGGGTGGCGGTGGGCAGCGTCCATCCTGCAGCTCACCCTGTGAGCCTCACCTGCATGGGGTGAGGCTGCTCCACCTACCCCAGAGATCCCTACTTCGAGATCTGACTCCAACTCTCCCTCAGCCCAAAGCACATGATATGTCAGGCTCCCTTTTCATTCCATAAAATTCAAGGAACCGTCATATTGAGCATTTCAACATTTACTCTGAAAATTTAAGACAGAAATTAGAGTTTTCAGTGTATCATGGCCTGCTTGGGTCCCTGATAGTCCATGTTGGGAACTCCTGGCCGCCTTAGATGGGGCTCACTGGAATCCCACTCTGGGTTGGAGATTTCCATGCACAGAGGATGTAGGAGTGAGGAGGTCACACTGGGCGGGAGGAGACCTGACTCATGTTGGGGTTGCCGCCGAGGCCTCAGGCGTCCACACAGCGAGCTCCGGAGCTGGGAGCCCCTTCATTCAGTGGCATCTTAATTGAGGCAGGGACTTGAGGTCTCGGTTCATCAAACTGAACCCGTCTGAGAAGGGACATCACCTTGAGGAAGTTTCTGCAGCCAAGAGCCCTTCCCAGTAAGGGCACAGCTCTGAGCTGCTGGGTTCTCAGCGGTGCTAGGTGGTCACATTGAAGAGGGGATCTGGGCAGACTTCACAGTGTCCCCTCCTCTGGTTTGCTCTGTTGGGAGTCACAGACCGCCACAGCCTGGGTCCCAGGACCTCTGCAGGGCTGGGCAGCAGTTCTGGGGCCTGACCTAGACAGGTAGTCTAAGGACTGGCCCCATCCCCACCACATGACCATCCAGGGGCAGGACAGTGGACAGAGGTTGCATCTGACTGTCTTTCCACCCAGGCCCTCACTCTCTAACTCACACAGAAGCCGCAAGTCACCAGATGACTCTGGTCCTTCCAGGCCATGTCTATGCCTGATGCGTGCTTGGTAGAGACTCCTGGAGGGGGCTGGAGGGAAGGGCAGCTGGGGGGCTCAGACCCAGACTCCTGGAGGGGGCTGGAGGGAAGGGCAGCCTGGGGGCTCAGA